AGCTGCCATCTGATATACGACTAGTCCGCTCGAGTGGAGAATAGGACGCTCGAGCGTAAAGCACAAAAAAAAACTGAACCCGCTTGAGCGCAAAAATGCCCGCTCGAGCTCCAAGACACAACTGCAAAATACACCCGCTTGAGCGCAAAAGAAAAGCCGCTCGAGCGTAGATTACACTCCTCCAGTACTTTTACAGACATCGAACACCCGCTCGAGCACCAAGGTACCCGCTCGAGCCTGACCCGCTCGAGCGTAAGGAAATTTGCTCGAGCGTGAAAAACACATCGGCAGAAGTTTTGTAGAGGTATAAAATGCTGAAAGTGTGCAAACTTTGCTCGAGCGCAAATGGACCCGCTCGAGCGGAACACAAAAAAATCTGGGCAACAAGGAATGGGACCAAAGCTCAACCAACCTGTTCGAAACACGCCCAACACATCTTAAAACTCAAATATAAGGAATCAAAGGATGACAACAAGACATATTCAACAACCAACTCCACGGAACCTAAGTCCGGAATACTGTTAAACCATGAAGGGAAGACCGAGATTGCTATACACAGGATCTAACATAATGCACAGTTGCAGCATAAGGATTTGCTAAGTTTGTATCAATTGCCCAGAAACATAGAATATAGATAATACAATAAAGAGGAGAGAGAGAGAGAGCAAAACAGAACACGTCGTTTTATTTTTTTTCTTCTGCCTGAGTTAGAGTCATATATATAAAGACTCTCTAATGTCTGTTGGGAACAGACACACCCTTTGCTTTTTGAATTCAAACACTATTTGAATTATAAATAAACATGACTGTTGGAAAAAGAAATAAATAAATAAATGCAAATAATAAAATAAATAAATAAATGCAAATAAAGTTTTGAAACTTTTAAGAAATCTCCAACAATCCCCCACAAGATTCAAAACTTTGCAAAACCATCAAATAAATACAAAAATAATAATGATAATAATATGGGCAACTCTAAAACCATATAATGGGTGTAGATGTTTTTCAAACTTGAACCTTACTTAGTGTTGACAGTTTCATTCTGAAGGAATATCAGCGAATCAGGTCTTGAACTAAATCCCTTTTACCAAAATTCAACATGTCACACATATGGTACGATACATAATTATGGCGCTGGTTAGCACTATTAGCAACCATGTGCTCAATCTTGATTCTTATAAGAGTTTTAGGGAACGACCCTATTCCTACGGTTGCGGCTTCACAATGCTCTAATTTAAGTGAATCCTCCAAAGATAGAAGTGACAGATGCCTACCTTGCAAGTGCATGCCCGCCTTGGATTCATTTAGAGTAAGTACTCTTCTTTAATCATTACATTTACATCAACATTTATATCTTAGGGATAAGCAGGAGAATACAAATAATAAATTTAATAAAAGTCTCCTTATTTAAAGTGTTGGAATACAAGTCAAGCTATAAGAATTGTTCCTACCAGTTGAACTTTCTTCATAGGATCTCCAATCAGAAAAGTCGGGTTACCTTCATCGTCGACTCATTGTGACCCATCCTCCTTGATAAATCTAAGACTATACTCTTAGATAAATCTTCTATTAACTGATCGGTGATATTCTTTTCAGATTTCACAAAATTCAAAGATATAACATTTTTATTCACCAAACTTCATATTGATTTATACCTCACTTGCATATGTCTATTCATCTTTTTATTAGTATGTGCTTGTCTCACAAGTTCTATTACAACTCTATTCTTACAATGTATGGAAATAACAGGTATAGGATTTTTCACAAGTGGAATATCAAAGAGTAAATTTTTAATCCACTTAGCTTCAGTACATGTAGTATTTAAGGCTATAAGTTTTGATTATGTTGTATTTTTAGAGATAACAGCTTGTTTCTTAGAACCCCAAGATATTATTGCTTCGCCTAACATAAATATATACCCGATAATAGACTTAACATCTAAGCTATCTGTTATCCAATTACCATCGCTATAACTTTCTACAATGTTAGGAAAACCACTAAAGCAAAGTGAATAATCTAGAGTTCCTCTTAGATATTTAAAAACTCTTTCCACAACAATCCAATGATCTTTACTAGGATTATGAGAGTGTCTACTTAATCTCCTAACAGCATAGGCAATATCCAGTCTAGTCTTATTAGCAATATAGAGAAGTGATCCAATAATTTGAGAATATCTAAGTTGAGATACAGGTGTACCATTATTTTTCTTTAAATTCATGCTAAGATCAAAAGGAATTGAAATAGGTTTGAGATTATAATAATCAAACTTTTTTAACATCTTCTCTAGGATTCCAGATTGATTTAATGTAATACCTTCGGTTGTTTTCTCTAATTTCATACCCAAAATTATATAAGCTTCTCGTAAATCTTTCATATCAAATTTCGAAGACATAAGATTTCACATTTTTAATTTTATCTAAATTTGTTCCGAATAATAAGATGTCATCAATATATAAACACAAAATAATGCATTATCCATTTTCTTCTTTAAAGTATACACATCTATCATGTTCATTGATCGTAAAATCAAATTCTAGAATTACCTTGTTAATTTTTCACGACATTGTTTAGGAGCTTACTTAAGTCTATACAAAAATTTAACTAACTTGCAAACTTTATGTTCTTGTCCTTTAATCACAAAACCTTCAGGTCGCTCCATATAAATTTTCTCATCTAAATCTCTATTCAAAAAAGCAATTTTAACATCCATTTGGTGAATTTCTAAATTATAAATAGATGCTAGGGCAATCAAGATTCTAATGGTTGTAATCCTAGAAAAAGGTGAATAAGTGTCGAGATAATCTATTCCTTTCTTTTGTGTAAATCCCTTGGCTACTAATCTTGCCTTATATTTATCTATACTTCCATTAGGTTTTAATTTCTTTTTAAATACACATTTGCAACCGATAGCTTTACTCCCAGGAGGTAGGTTAGTCAACTCTGAAGTATTATTTTGAAGTATTGATTTAATCTCACAATTAATAGCTTCCTTCCAAAATGGTGCATCTAAGGATGATATAGCTTCTATAAAAGTATTTAGTTCTCCTTTAGTTAAAAATGTATAAAAATCATCTCCAAAGTTTTCTCTATTCTAGTTCTCTTACTCCTTCTAAGTTCTAAGTCTAGATGTTCAGAATCATGTCTTAAAGAAATAACACTTGCACTAGTATTAGAAGTTCTATTTACAACCTGATTTGAGATCCTAGTTTTATATGGGAAAATATCTTCAAAAAATGTAACTTCACGAGATTCAATTATTGTATTGTTAGTAATTTTACTAATTTCAGAATTTATTACTAGAAATCTATTAGCACTACTATTTTGAGCATATCATAAGAAAACGGTATCAACAGTTTTGGGTCCTATTTTCTTACGTTTAGGTTATGGAATTGTTACTTTGGATAAACACCCCTACACTTTTAACATTTTAAGATTAGGTACTTTTTTTTTTTCATAAGGTGTTTTATCATTATCATTCACAATTACTCTATTTAATATAACACAAGTAGTGAGTATCGCTTCCCCCCCACAGGCTCTCCAGTAAACCAGAACTAATAAGCATTGCATTTATGATATCCATAGAGTTTGGTTTTTTCTTTCAGCTATTCCATTAGATTGTAGAGAATAAGGTGGGGGTTATCTCATGAATAATTCCATGTTCTACACAAAAATTACTAAGAGTACCTATATGATATTTGCCTCCTCCATCAGATCTAAGTTTCCTTTCTAATTGATTTTCAACTTCAGCTTTATACATTTTAAATTTACTAAACACTTCATCTTTGGTTTTAATTAAATACAAGTAAAATAAAATTGTAATTAGTAAAAATGATATTTTTATTAGAAAAGGTTTTCTATGTGATGGTTTATTTAAATTAAATGTGTCTTTTGAAATTAATAATAGCTCTCATAATATTTTGAATCTTGAAGTTTGTGATTTGTGGCATGGAAGACTTGGACATGTGAATTTAAGAGAAATTAGGAAAATGATGGATTTAGAATTAGTACATAAGTCACCTATTGATGTCAAACACAAATATGAAATATGTGTCCAAGCAAAATAACCTAAGAAACATTATAAATCTGTAGAAAGAAATTCACAACTCCTAGACCTTATATAGAGTGATGTTTGTGATTCTAATAGACTGCCAACTAGAGCATGAAATAAGTATTTTCTAACCTTTATAGATGATTGTTCCATTACAACTTTGTAACCTAACTACACTAAACACGATCCACTAATAATATTTGTTGTTTAATTTTGATTTTGTATGCTCACATGTTCATTATAAGATTTGTTTGCTTTTATGTTGTGTTATTGAGTCAAATTGATCAGTACCACTTAAAATCTCTAAATTCTTACCTATCATTAGATTTTGATTTATAAGGAAAATCCAATTCTGATCACTGTTGGCTTGGCTTGTTTGTTGTTTAATTTTGATTTTGTATGTTTACATGTTCAATATAAGAAAATTAAGGGATTTGGGTTAAATATGGATCATTGAAAACATAATTAACTGTTTAAGGGATTTGTTCCCCTTTGTTTATATAATCTAATATAAGTCAACTCTTGTAGTGTTTTTATTCAGTTTGTATTATTTTGCAAACATAATTTATAGTTTTTGTGCTAATATTGAGCACTTATTTATTTTTTAAGTGACTTGGCACATTGATGTGGAACCTAACAATGTTGAGAATGACGGGGTGATTGCGATTGGAAGCCTAGAGTTCGCATAACATTTGATACAAAACAAGAAGCATATGATTTTTATAATGTTTGTAGAGAACGGTTGGGCTTTAGTTTTAGAAGGGGTTATGTAAACAAGAGCAATGAGGGGCAAATCACTTCAAGGCAATTTGTTTGTAATAAAGAGGGGTTTCGGGTTGTTGACTAGCGAGATCTGTTAACAAAAAATCCTAGGAAAACATCTGCATCACAGGCAACCGAAATAAATTTAGCCGAAAAATCTGGAATTTGTCTTAATGCTACATTTGAGCTCATGGGTAATGAAGCTGGTGGAAGGGAGTCGCTTGGCTTCACAAAACTAGACCAAAAAAATTATTTGAGAACGAAGAGGCAAAAGAGTTTAGCATATGGGGAGGCAGGTAGCATTTTGCAATATTTTCGTGAGAAAACATTGGAGAATCCATCTTTTTTTTACTCGGTCCAATTAGATAATGAGGAGCAGATTACAAACACAATTTGGGCTGATGCTCAAATGATCAAGGATTATGGGCAATTTGGTGATGTTGTGACTTTTGACAGTACTTACAAGTTAAATAGTGCACATAGACCATCTGTGTCTTTCGTTGGATTTAACCATCATAGGGAAACTATTATATTTGGCACATCTTTGATGTATGATGAGATCGCCGATTCTTTTATATGGATTTTTAGAAGATTCATGGAGGCGATGTCAAGTAAGGCTCCAAAAATAATTTTTACGAATCATGATGTTGCAATGATTAAGGCCATAACTATTGTCATGCCTAACACAAACCACTGCCTTTGCACTTGGCATTTGATGTAAAATGCATTAAGGCATGCAAATTATATCTTCAAGGATAAGGAGGTCAAGGATAAGGGGATGGAGAGTGTTTTATCCAAATTTATGTACGGCATCGAAGATGAGGAAGAGTTTACGTTAAAATGGGAGGAAATGTTTGACAAGTATGAAGTGCGAAATAATCATTGGTTGAAGTTAACATTTGGGGTCAAGGAAAAATGGGGTTGGCCATATGTTAGAAATGCATGGGGTGCAGGCATGAGTAGCACCTAACTTAGTGAATCTTTAATGCTTTCTTGAAGAATTTCATTTAGTTTGATCATAACTTAATGCAATTTTTCATGCATTTTGATCAAGTTCTTTGTGAGAAGAGGTACAAAGAGTTACAAGCTGAATATGCTTTATGCCAAAAGTTGGCAAGGGTGAATATAAAAGTGAAGATGATGGAGCAAGCTGCAGATGTTTACACCAATAAAATTTATGCAGAATTTTAGGATGAGTATGTCAAGTCCCTTGAAGTAAACATTGAAGAAACTAAACATGATGGTGAGAGTAACCATGTATACGGTTCTTGATAGTGATGGTGTAAAGGTGAGGAAGGTGAGAGTGGAGTGTGATGGTTCATTGACTTGCAATTGTAGGTAGTTTGAAATGAAGGGCATTTTGTGTAGTCATTGTTTGAAGATCCTTAGAGACACCCTCAAATTCAAAGAGATTCCTTCACAATATATTCTCAAGAGATGGACTACAAAAGCAAGAGCTGAAAATGTGAAAGATAGGTGTGGGCATGATATTAAGGTTGATGTAAGATTGCATCAAACTTTACGCTATAGATCATTGATGGCATAATTCAGAGTAGTAGCGTGTAGAGCTTTCGAAAGTGAGGAAACATATAACTTGACGGGAGTGAAAGTGGATGAATTAATTGTAATCATTGAAAGCATGTTAAGTGCAAAATTCAATATGCCTTTTTCAAATACTATTGAACAAGAAAGCCGTCCCAACACATGCCCCGAAAGCTTTGACGTGGATGGTGTAGCAGATATAAATGCAGTTCAAGTAAAAGGACTCAAGAGAAGAGAGTGCACTAGCAAGGGAAGAAGGTGGACAAAAGGTGGTTTGGAGCTTGCTTTGGTAAAGAAAAATAAAACAAGTTCACATAATGCTTCTCAAACTCCTATGTTTGCTACTCCTCAACCTCGTCCCTTATTTTCGACGAGTGATCCTGAACCACCTCCCTTGTTTTTGCAGAGTATTCCTCAATCAGCTCCTTTATTTTCAATAAGTGCTCCTCAACTTCCTCCATTCTCAACGAGTGTTCCTCAAGTTAATGCTTCTTCGTCTCAATTTATGTATCCCACCTATAATGTAAGTTAGTTTAATAAGAAGTTTTATTATTTCTATTTGTAGGTCACTATTACCATTTTAAATTGATATGTGTTTGTGATTGTTGCAGCCAAGTAATATGCCTTTTTCAATGCCATCAATGTATTCCGTGCATAGAAGCTATCAAGCATTGCTTAACAATGCAAGCGGTTATGACTAGCAAGCCTCGAATAGTCCTGCATGTAGTCAAGTAATTTATTTTTCACCTTTCCTCTTTTATTTTGTCATTCATTCATTTAAAGCTCCAATTTATTTTATGGTTCCTTCGATATAAGAGTATTTCCTTTTTTTTTAGGAACTACATAGGCATGGGCGTGGTCGTGGGCATGATCATGTGGATCACACGTCAATATCTTAGAGTTGATTTTTTTTTTCTTGGATACGGTATTCGTCTATGTAATATTGAAAACCTTTCATGTGGATGTAGAAAATATTGTTGTGCTCTTTAATGATTGGGGTATTTTGAGTTGTATTTCTCTTGTTTTGAAATGACAACACAGTTAAAATGTCGTTGAAAATTTGATGAAATTTTTGTTGAAATGTTGCTGAAAGTGTTGCTGAAATTTTGCTGAAATGTTACTGAAATAATGCTAAAATGTTGCTGGAATTTTGTAGTATTTTTGCTTAAATTTTTGTTGAAATGTTGCTGAAATTTTGCAAAAATATTGCTGAGCTGTTGTGTAACGCTCTCAAAATAAACCCATAACATCATACAATCACGATAAAGAAAATGGATCTCATATTAATATCATCAGAATATTCTTACAAAAAGTATTACACATTGACGACAAAAGTAAATGCCCTATAGGTTTACAACTTTCCAAGTCAACACTTGGTTACAGAAGAAGAGAGTACTAACTCTACACAAAAGAAGCCCTTGGCTTGATATACATGTAATACAACAAAAATTAAACAAAAGAGTCTTTAACTCCCACAGTGATCCATGCTAAGATCTTGGAGGCGGCATAGTACCTGAACCTGAAAATGATGTCCCACATAGGGTGAGCCACAGCCCAGTAGAAATATACTAAACCAACTATAAACAATGACTAAAATATTAGCAGTTGATAGATGGTCAACACTTATACATCCACTTACATCACATTACAATTCCATGACAATCATGTCCATGTTATATTTCATTTCAAAAACGTGGCTCAGAACCTGCCAGATAATCCGATAGAGATTACATCTCTTATTAACAATATTTCCAATTCAATTAGGATAACAACTCATGTTAAACATTCCTTATATCACAATAGATACACATTTTGGTGCTGTATCAATCTCAGTCAAAATCACTTCCATACTTCACAAATGATACACATTTTGGTGCTGCATCAATAACATGTAAAAACACTTCCATACTTCACAAATGATACACATTTTAGTGCTGTATCAATGCCAAATAAAATCCGGTTTAGAGGTCCATCCCCTATCTTCCCCTGTCTCCACATTGGATCAAGAACAGGGTCAGAGGGATCAAAAACTGCTAATTCATACAGAGCCATTGAACCAGCCCAACCAGCAACCAAAGCTGTATGCATTATATGGACAGAAAGCAACCGACCGGGATCATTCAACACAACGGTATGAACACGATACCAAGGCAAACCCATGGAAATACCTCTTTATCAAAGAAAAATAGACACTACGTAACTTTATTGCATTGAAATATACTATGACTATGCTATAGATCTCCCTTGTTCAGTGGATTATCTTGGAGCAAGGGGTAAGATTTGTTCTATTTTGTTGATAATAATGGAACAATTCTGTTCGTAGAACAAAGAGAAGCAAATTTATTCTATACTTGATAAGTATTAATACGCAATGGGTTGATACTATTTTATATGAGGGAATGCGCCCATACTCCTTCATCATTAGAAAAACCTATTCGTAATAATTTTCCTTTATTCATTCTGTCTTTCTTTCTATTATTATATTTATGTATGAATTTTTCTAATTTATGGATAAAATACGATAAGGGCCAATATTAGAAAGACAAAAACCCATTGTTACGTTTCCACATCAAAGTGAAATATAGTACTTAGTTCTTTTTTCTTTCATTTAATGCCTATTGGTGTTGTAAGTCCTTCACGCCTCTTTCTCATTTTTGCTGATGTTCTTTGTTTATTTACCTCTAAAGACCAGCACTTCAACACCATATATGCTTGTTAGATTTACTAGAGTTTGAACGAATATCATAAACCCAAAACCACATGCTCAAACCCAAAAACATATTGGCTGGATTTTAAACCAGTCTAAAGAACTACTCGCTCGAGCGCCAAAAGGCCTACTCGAGCGCTACCCGCTCGAGCGTAGAAAACACACCTGCAAAAGTTTTGTAGGAACACGAAATACTAGAAGGGTGTAAACCCCGCTCGAGCGCAAGAAGGCCCGCTCGAGTGGACAACCAAAAACCAAAATCCGCTCGAGCGCAGAATGACCCGCTCGAGCGTAACACCAAAAAGCTGGGCAACAACACTTGAGACCAAAACTCAACCTACCTGTTCGGAACATGCCCAACACATCCTAAAATTCAAACATAGGGAATTAAAGGATGACAACAAGATATATACAACAACCAACTCCACGGAACCGAGTCCGGAATATGATCAAACAGAAAAGGGAAAATCGGGATCGCTCTATGTTGCTAGAATTTTTGTTGAAATGTTGTTGAACTGTTGTTGGAATTTTTGTTCAAATGTTGATGAACATGACGCTGAAATTTTGCACAAATACTACTAAAATGTTGCTGAAAATGTTGCAATTCAGAGTAGCAGTTTGTCTTACCTCCTTTAGATCCTTTAGTCTGATATGCATTTTGCAAAAATGCCAACCCCAAAAACAGTCAACATTAGAACATTGTGCATTATACATTTGAAATGATATATAGGACATGAACAACAATGGATCATTGATCCAGCAACAGTTTGCTCACAATCAACATTTCATGGGTTGTTAGAGAAACCAAAGAGAGAAGCAGTTTGCTCCAGCATTTCAACCTGTTTGCATTTTAACCTATTCCAGCATTCTAACCTGTGTGCTCCAACATTAGAACATTATGCATTTCAACTTCACAATCAATTTAAAATATACAAAAGAGAGAAGAAGTCCACAACCAACTTCATTTACAAAAGAGAGAAGTTCATAATCAACATTAGAACATTGTGCATTTGAAGTCCACAACCAACTTAATTTACACTTAATATTTAGTTCACAAAAGGAGAAGTCCAAATTCAAACTTAGTTTACACATAATATTTAAACAACAAAAGAAAAAGGGCTTTATCCACAAGACCGCCAAATACACAGTGATGAACAGGGCCGTGGCCAATTAGAACTTGTCCGTAGGGTCGATTAGGCCACTGATCTTGTGGAAATGCCTGGGGGTCCAGCTGTGAGGGCAGGGTGTCCATAACAGAAAGTGGGCCCCTGGAGAGCAATATAGAAAGGAGGACCATCAGCCAAAGGAGGGGGATGTAAGAAAAAAAGGAGATAACTTGTGACAAAAGAAAAACCTGAGAGAATATTAAATGATCCGTCGGCGAGCTAATTCCGGTACCTTTAACCGGAGTGCATACCCCCATTTCAAGTACCAGTTTGAGGATTAAGAGAGTCTGTTAGGATCAAAGGGTA